AAGCTTTTACTAGAGTTTCGTTAGACCAATGAGGCATTCTCTTATAGTCATTAAGAAGCAATTTTATCTGATTTTTATCAAAAATCTTTGACAGAGTCTTATTAAAACGCACTTCATTTTTCAAATCCTTCAGTTCCTTCTTCATAGTTACCAACTTTTTTCTCATTTTAACCCTCAACTGTTCACTTCTTTTTAGCAGTTTCTCCAAATTCTGTGATGTATTGCAGTTGCAGCGATCAAACGTTAAATATGTCTTATTGTTAGTCCTACTTAATGTATTTTCATTATCCGAATTTATCACAGGTTCTTGAATTGCTTCTGTAATAATAAACATGATAATTTATTAGAATATATCAATACACATTTTGTGCACATGATAACAAGTTTTAAGAGCTATTATCCTTCATAAAGATTTGCAATTATTGCACTGATACAATATTACTAAATATAATACTTAGTATTTGATTTTAATACTGAAAAAAGCTGTTGATATTTATTCAAAATATAAAGTGTTTCTAAAAAGGTTTTTCTGACATGCGATAAAGTAGTAAACTTAAAAATATGATAGCATTTATAAATAACTTCTGTTTACAATCTACTTCTTATTAGTACTTATGAATGTTAACACATAATCACATTATTACATCCTATTCTATTATTTTATCATTTGTAAATCATCATTTTTGCAATCATCATAATTAGTTTCATTACACATACCTGTTGCATCATATATGTTATTGCTGGCTTCATTCATCTTAAAATTTACTTCATGACCCGATTGCGATGCACCTTCAGCTCCCAGGAAAGTTTCGGATGCACCTATTTATTACAAATGTTAACATTTATTGCAATATCTTGGTACACGAATTTAAAGATTTTAGATATATTTTATTTTATTGTATATACCGGTTGCAGCCAGAGCCATATGTTTGAAAATCGTAGGCACAGCATTTGCTTTCAAACATCTTTGTTTTCCATCTGGGTATGTTTCCCACATATCGGGAGAAAAATGGGCCTGTGAAATTAAATGAGTTAATGTTTACATATCACTCAAACACCCTTGTACAATAAGAGATCG